CATGGAGGACATTCTACCCCCTGAGTGAAATTCAAGACGATTTCACGTTAAAACTCACATTTATATTCGCTTGAAGAAACGAATGCACGTGCACCGTGCACGTGATTTCGAAACACGGACGACGTTGCAAGTTGCAAGTGGCGCGATCTGAAATCCAAAGTGGCCTCTGGTAAGTCACATCTGACGGCGACGGCGCGCGCGCATTCGAGATTCGAGACGCGAACGAGGGGAATTCTCAGTATCTGAACCTAGGACCAATCATATGCCATTCATTAAGAACTTCGAGATTGACGGGTCTTGTGCGCCGTAGCGGACCGTCACAATCCGTGACGGCCCGCAGCGGTGCAGAATGCCGATTACACACACCCGTGAACCCATGACTTGTCGTCCGAAGATGCCATGCAAGAATGCGTTCGGCGGCGTGTCGGTCTTGAAGTCCTCACCAGCAACAACCTCAAATATTCGTCACATGTCACCGAGGTCGCTGATAAGGCATCGCAACGAAGTAACTTCATGCAGCGATCTTTTGTACTTTAGGACGCGGAACTCTACATGAAGCTTTTCGTGGTGTACGTCATACCTATTCTTTTGTATCCGTCCTTAGTATGGAACCCGGGATACGAGGAGGAAAAGAAACCGCTACTCAGGGTCGTCGGCAAGTTCCGCCGCCGAGTAGGATTCAAATGAGGAATTGATCCCAATCACGTTCCAGAAATAGATATACCTAGAATCGCGACCATAGTGAACCCGAAAAAGCAAGAAGCTAGGTAGTGTCATTACCGTATATTCACGTGAAAACGTTAAACGACGTTTTTTCTGGCAAGCGGTCAGCTTGCTTTGGAGTCAAATCATGGCATATAGACCTGTCTCTCTATCGGCCCACTGTTTGATGGAATTGGGATTATAGTTTTCATGGAAACTTGGTTAGAGCCCACTGATTGCCCGACGGGGCTGCAATATTCAATCATTCTTCGAGAGATGGTTTCCGTGGCTCGGAGGCATCGATACTTCTTCTGGATTCCGTCTGCATGACCACCAAACCTGCGGCAGCAATCGAGTTTCGGAAGTTTCTCCACGAATCTGGAATCGAAAGCCACACTGATCTAACCATTTTAGTCCTTGGGCTGCCGAAGCAGGGAGTCCTTTGGGACTCTCACTGCTGCTTCCTCGACGAATCCGCTATGATACGACGATTGGTGAATCTTGTTGGTCTTCAGTTCGTCATATAGCGCGTAGTCGTCATCATTGAGGGAACGCGGTTAACTTCGAGCAGAGTTCCGCGTTCCCATGTAGCAGTGTAGTGAGGCTATCGCATGATTTCGTCATCATGATGGAATCCAGATCTCACTGTACCGGATTCGATCGCAACCGCGGCATTTCCGACAACGGCGACTTTCGGAGCCGAAGTCGAACTCGACGCTTGATGAGTCGTCCCATGAAGAGATCCTCCCGATGACAGCCTGAATCTGTTGACACGCGCACTTGCTGAGCTTGAAGGTGCTTCGTCGTGCCGCTTCTGTCGCCAGGAGCTTCTTTAAAGGGTCTCATCTATCGTCGATAAGCTCGATTCGCTTCAAGTCATAAGAACTACTCGGTTTTCCGGGAAACCTCCGTTGTTCACCCCAGCAAATCATAATCATGATCAAAGCCCGACTCGATCTCGATTTAGGCAGTTTCCTTCGAATAATCAGAAGCCCTTAGGTTCTCGCTCTTATTGTCTCCTTTGTCGGGCTCTAACTCGCCGACCTCGCCTTATAGAGTCCCCTTCGAATGACTGACGGACTATGCCATAATTCGCGCTTATTTTTACGCTTTCGTGCCGAATCCAGAGGCAGGTGGAAATCAGCTGCAGGAATCGAATGATAGATCCGCCTCGCGAACGATCGCACCTTGAGACTTTGCCGTGAATTTACAACCCAGTGATGCGATTCAGACAATCCGGAACTCCGCAATTCCTGCATTATAATTATAAGGCTCCAAAAGCGGACAAGATTTCGATGCTCGAAGGACGAAGTACATTGGTCAGCAGAGCCTGCGACAAAGACGTTTCCACGTCAAAATGCCAAATTGTGCATCGTATAAGGAACTTTCCGTATAAGGAACCCTGACCATAGGGAACTTTCCACCTAAGACCCCCACCCATAGGGAACTTCCCGTGTGGAGATCCCCATCCATAGGGAACTTTCCTTATAAGGAAGGCGGCGTTTCTTGAAATTCTCCGAATCGCCGATGTACCAATCTTTGACAAAAAAAACGGTACGATTCAATCAATTCCTCGATGTGATATGCCCAAACACCAGGTCAAACGGGAACGTTGTTTATATATTCATCGCTCTCCGGAAGAATTTTCATGACATCATTACCTATTCCCATTCCGAACCAGCAGAGCCCCGCGAAATGCAACGAACGCACTGTTCTTGCAGTGATCGTTGTATATTATGCATACTACCTACCTTCTGAAGCCACTCCTTCGAATAAGGAAAGCGTATCAATCAAGTCTTTTCGCGCCCTGCATCCGGGGCGCGTTGAGCTCCGTCTCAGCAACCCCGGCGAGTTTTTTTCGAGCCGCCCTCTCAGAGTTTGAATTTATTTCAATGATAACACAGCACACCTCATTCCACGCATAGTTCATTTGAGAAAAAGCATCGTGACGCGAGGCGAGTTCTGCTCCAGAAAGATTTGATCTCGCCACCAGGAGACTCCTCATCACAGACAAGGAAGAGTTTGGATTAGGAGAAGGCATGAAAATGCATCTTTCTCCGATGATTCTCTCCCATGGTCGGGACTTGGGATAGAAATCTTTCAGCAGGATTTGCTTTCCAAATGACGTGTGCCCCATACGCTCCTGATTGTACGAGCGAGCATTTCTGGCCCCGCCGGAGCGCTTGTTGGCGAAAGCGTGCTGAGGGCTACGCAAATCGCTGCCGGCAGGGGCACGAGGCCGGCTTCTCAAAGTAGAGGAAAGCTGGGGGTCTGTAAGGTCTTCGCAGCGCCGTCTGGTTTGCGGGGCCCCATAGTCATGATCGATGGACACGGGTCGCCGAACGGCTGTCTTGACGCTCGTCTTCTTGAGGCACATGATGACGTAGTCCTCCAACTCCCGCTCTCGCGAAGGGAGGCAGCCCCCCGGAGATACCGATTGAAGTCTTCTGTCAAACGACGAGGCAAGCTCCCGCTCTTCCAAGTAGGGAGGCCTCGTCTTATGTGTTTTGGACGGAGCAGCAATTCCAGCTCTAGGGCTCTGCGAAAGGACCATGCAGTCGGTCCAATCTTGCTACCACTCTCTGGAAATAGGGTAAAGGAATGTGTAGATGTAGTCGCCTCACGGAAAACACGTACGATGTCGGCCGTGTGCCGCTCGGGAGTGGCGTTCATTAGACAACGGCTCTGCCACCTTACCGGCAGAGGGCGCGTCCGTCGGTGGACCGCGCCGAGACTAAACTCCAATACCTAATACACTACAGTGGACTCGATATTCAGAATCATTGTCTCGAGTTGAATGTCCCGAATGTGTTTCTGAAGTATTCTGTTTTAAGCGAGTTCTAACCTCAAGCACAGCGTCGCTTCCCGCGAGCATGTAGTCGTTCGTGGACATGGTTTCCGATGCTTCTTGAACGTAAGTCAAGGCTGGAACAGCTTCACGGAGCAACTGTATCTCAGCAACGCTCGAGGAAGAGGTTTTCAAGTTCGGGTGGCTTGGGACGTATTCTTTGAGGGGTCTTTCGGGTCTGAGGAATTGCTGCACCGTGGCCAACGTGCTATTCCAACTGTGATGGGAAAAAATCAATCAGGGCTATTTTTTGAGAGACCCTTCATGCCTGAATCCAATTCCGTTGCGAAATGGCATGCCTGAATATTCTTAATGATCGATAGTTCTGCTCTCTGGAATTCATCCGCACCTATCACTAGACCATCTCTCGGAGTGCCCTCGCTGTTTCGATGTCTCCACCTCAGCATATATGCTTCAATGCTTACTGCCTTCGGCCAGGACGATAACGGTTTCAATCCGATTGTCTCTCTCGAAGTTCGTTCCGACGAAGCACTGAGCTCTACGTTCGTGTATGACCTCTGTCTCTGCCGAGACGTCGTTCAGACCTCGCGGATTTTCTCCCGATCGCAACCATTCTGGTCCGAAAAGCCAGAAGTTTCTGAGCTCCTTCGTATCTAGAAGTGACGCCCGACTCAGTAGGTCTGCCGGATTCTCGGCCGATCTGATGTAATTCCATTGCTCGGCTTTCGTTCCCTGCTGGATCTCAATGATTCTATTCTCCACGAAGGTTTTCCATCTATCGGGACGATCTCGGATCCAAGCTAGCACGCATGCGTTATCACCGATCATATTGCCGGGAGAGGACGAAATGGTCGATTTGTACATTCGATGGATTCATGGAAACTTATGCTGCCACGCAGGAAGCATTCCAGGCATGTTGCAGAGGTGTAGGCAGAGATTTTCCATCATCCGAGCGCGTAGAGCAGCCAGAAAGGCAATAACGAGTTGCAAAGTATGCGTGAAATACAGGGCTCAACCGGCGGGGGAATGCGTTCCACCATTACCTAAATTTCGGATCGAAACCGCGCCTGCTTTCACAGTAGTTGCGGTTGATGCAGCGGGACCATTCCCAGTCAAGTCGAAAGAGGGAATATTCCCAGCGCACATAATGCTCTTTTGCGACCCAATCTCTCGGGCAGTCAGGCTAGAATTAATGCAAAATCTATCGACCCACGAATTTCTCCTCGCAATGAGAAGATTTTACAACAGAAATCCAACGGTCATGAGATTCTTTTCCGACAACGCGGCGTCATTCCGAAGAGCGGCAAAAGAGATCAAGTGGCTGTTCGATCTTGCGAGATCAGAGGAAACTCAAGAATTACTGTCGAAGAACAGAATAACATGGGAATTTAACACCGAGAGAGCGCCCTGGCGTGGAGGCTTCTACGAAAGGCTTTTCCGAACGATCAAACAACCGCTGAGAAAAATATTGGGGAGTACCATCATTCAGAGAACTAGAAGTCCTCACGGACATACAAAAAATGGTAAGTGATAGACCACTGACTCATATAAGCAACGATCTGAATGAGGTGCTGCCCCTCAGACCATCGGATCTGCTATATGGAGTCCAGGTGGGACCAGCATTACCAGAGACGATGGGAATCATCAATAGCGCGGAGCATGCTACGGCAGAAGCATTGATGACCAGATGGAAACATCAGCAAAACATTAGGAATGATTTCTGGAAACGATTCCGAAAGGAATGCATCCAGCATTTGCGAACAGCGCACATGAGCAAACCGGTCAGAGAACGTCCCATTAAAATCGGAGACGTAGTCCTCTTAGATGATCCGGCAGCTTCGCGAAGCTATTGGCCAATGGGGAGAGTAACGGAGTTTTCTGGCCGGGAGGGGCCGGATGGGAAGCGAAGGACCTGCATGGTCAAATTACCATCCGGAAAGTCTCTGCGGAGGCCCATTCAACTATTATACCCACTCGATATAGCCCACTATTAATCCGCCGAGAAGGGAAATCAGCAGGGGTTCGAGACAAGAAATACCACCGATTGCAATGTAAAAAAAAGTGGACCGCAGTCCTTTTATTTTAAATTTCAAAATTATCGAAAGGAAAAAATATCATGACGCTCAGTCAAGGAAGACGGGTGCCTGGTCTAGGCGCACCAGGCACCGGCGCCCATCGGGGGACCGAAGACAGAGCCAACAACCATCTGGGGTGTCTGGGGCCGAGGACAGGGCCTGACCGGGCTGCAGGGCCGGAGCTGCAGGAAACATGGCGGCGGCCCAGACGTAACCTTCTGTGACCAAATCGGAGGGGGCCGAAGGGCCGGTCCCGCACACCGACTGCGGAGCCAGGCCGACTTCAGCGGGTGGGGCTTCTGTGGGACCCTGGGAGACTTCAGCGATGGCGGATGAGAGGATTTCAGCTTCGTTGGCGATGTCGGCTTCGGGTTCCTGGGTGTCGGTGGCGGCTGAAGATTGTTCGGAGTGGTCCTCGGGGATGACCGCGGTGGGTTCCGTGCGGCTGCGGGGGACTTCGGGAGCACAGGAGGGCGATCCGTTGTCCGGGTTGGGAACTTGATCTGAGTTCCAACTCTGTGAACGGGCGGGAACATCACCTTCATCCGGGTCTGGGGATGGAGCCGCATCCAACGCCGTTATGAGGTCCGAGATGGAGGGTAGCGCGTACTGTCCATTTCTGATGCGAGAGTGAAGTGTTAGCAGCTGACGAAAACAGTAGGAAGCTGAGGCCGCAGCCTCATCGGAGTCACCGCACGCGCGCACGCTGCGGGAACGTAGACGAAATAAGTCCTGTGCTTCGTCGGGCATCGTCATCCACAAACGTTCTCGGATAGCTTCCCTCCTGGGAACCGTTTCGTGGCGAAAATGGGGCGAAGTGGTGTCCAGGTACACGGTGAAGAGGCCCCCGGGGGACGTGTAGAAACTTTGGTTTCGCGGGGATGGTCGTCGAGGCACATTATATTGTAAGAACGCCGCAGATCAATTACACGTGGGCAACCAGAAGTTTCCGTCCCTTTATTCCACACTCGATGCCTCACCGGCAGTACGAGCGTCTCGAACAGAACTGCCTGCGAGAGCCCGACGTTACAAGTTTCTCTGTTCCTCCTCTCTCCGTTCATCTCTCGAAGCGCGCTATTCAAGCGTATCGATTGATTCTCTGGGTCGCTTCCTTGTTCATTAGTACAATAGTTATTCCCACATTGCATTCTCACAATATTGTGCAGCCATGGTGACTTCGGAGCGAAGGGGATTGATGAAAATTATGTAGCTCTTGACCCAGTCGGGGATACCCGATGTAGGAAGGAGCGTTATATCCGTGTAACAGTTTTCCAGTCTTCCGTGTCTAGAAAGTAGCACGTCCTAGACAGTTTCTCTCTCCTGGCTACGCGGGACTGTCATAGCTTCCTTGTCCGCTGTACTATAAAAGCATACGTCTATGTAATAAAGACACTCTGGCTGGTTACTCAGGCTATCCTGGTTGCCGACTTCGCTTGACGTGTTCTCAACCGGAAGTCCCGTGTATTTATTCAACATCGTGAATCCCTCCACACAGTACTCATCTCACAGCTGAATTTTGACTGAGCATTCGACTAGTGGACCATCAAATTTCCAACATATTTCGTTATCAGCACGATCGTGCTCCAAAATTCGGTGCTTAAATTGAAGTGAGAGTTGTACAGTGCAAACCACCACACTCCGAACATCATGACCGGATCAGTGA